TTTTTTTTTTCCCGGAAAAACCCCCCCCCCCCCCCCCCCCCCCCCTTCCCCTTTTTTTTTTTTTGTAATTCTTTTACCGTGCTCCGCTACCGTGCGAGTGATGTGTTATTCGCATGTTCGGAGTAAGGCACGAGACAGAAACGTAATAGAAAACACTCAGGCCATCCAGCTGCTGGAATGGCCGGGAAGAAAAAGAAACGACGAAGCATGAAAATAATAATGAGATCCGATAGCATCATACAGTGGGTTTCGTTGTTTCCTTTGAGTTGAAAAAATATACCAAGACAACCAACATTAGAAGCCATATCCATGCCCGTACAAATGCCAGAGTGACAAGAGATGAAAATAAACGTGAAAAAAAAATAAAAATGAAAATTGCCAGTCCTGATCCATATCCAGCTCCTTGCCTGACCCAGTTCCCTATTCCGATTTCATATAATTTAGCTCTGTTGAGAAGATGAGGTGGTTGTATGTGAAAAAGAGAAACGACGAAGAGATAGTTGTAGTAGATGCGAGATGCGATGCAATGGCGATGAATATATGGGAATAAAGCAGGAAGTGAAGGCAGATAATGACGAACGAGACGAGAGGAGATGTAGAGTATGGAAAGATTGGGAGATTAATGGGTACATTCGCTCCAGATAAGAGCTAGCCATCCGTTTGCGTTGGTGCTGGCGTTTGCACCGGTGTTGGTGGTAGAGCTGTAGCCGTTGCCGGCTTGATACTGGCCATTCATGTTTGATAGCGACGCCGGAGACGGGGGACCATTGGGCGTAGGGACCATGGTAGACCACTTGTCGAAGCTATCTGCTTCGATAAAGACAAGGACGTCTTCTCCATTTAGGCTGCTCATCCACAGCGGATTGGCGTTCACTGCATCATATGAGCTGTACGGTGAGACATGCCGAGACGGCGGTTGGTGTTGGTGTTGATGGTGTGATGCTTGCTGCTGTTGCTGTTGCTGTTGTTGTTGGGTAGGTGGTGGCGCCAGGAACGAGCCTAGATCGAGCCTGGTCTGGGAAAGGGGAGGAGTCCTGTTGCTTGAGCCATGCGATACATTATGACTATGCTGTGCTGGTCCAGACCCGGGACCATGCCCATGGCCATGCCCATGGCCATGCGCTCCGAGTGCTTGGCCGCTGTGGGTTAGACTCGGTTGGAGAGGAGGTAAGGGGAAGTTCTGCTGGGCAGCCAGATTCAGTGAGGGAAGAGACTGAGAGTATGGTGGCGGGGGAGGAGGAGGCTGGCGGGATGTTGGCCAGGGCTGGACAGCTTGCAGACGATGGTTTGAGTTTGAGTTGGATGGCGAAGGAGTCGCAGGGAAGTATGGCGAAGAGGCTGCTGTGGTGGGTGCAGTCGCAGCGGACGAAGATGGGACTGGCGGCGGGAGAGTTGTTCCTGCTGAGCTAGGCGGGCTGGCTGGCAGTCCCGTAGAGGGAGTATCACGATATGCGCCCTGGAAGGGAGGCAGGCTGTACGGCGAACCGGAGGGTGGACCAGCCTGCTGCTGAGGAGCTGGGAGGATGGGCCATCTATCGCAGTCAGAAGACTGTTTGTCGCCATTCTCCTTGCATCCGTTGGCCATTATAACCATGGTAGATGCAGCAGCGCCGCCAGAAGTAGTTGCCGTCGCTGCGTTTGAGATGGGGGCCAGCGAGTGAGACGCCGGGCTGCCGCTGCTGTTGACCGGTACCCATGAGTCTCGCTGCAGACTGCCAGTATATCCCTCGCCGCCATGGGGACCAGTAGCAGTAACAGAATTATCTGGACCCTCGCCCGGCTCACTCTTGACAATGTTGCTCTGCGCCTCGCTGCTGTGCTCCGTCGGATTCGCAAGAAGCATCGCGGCCATGTCGTCGTCCGACCCGCTCATCTCAGGCGTTTGGTCCTCTGTACTACCCAAATCCGTGAGCACCTTGTCCAGCTGTCTAAGCTCCTCGTATAGATTGTTCTGGACAATCTGCGAGGCAGAAGCATGGCGGTTATGCTTATGGTTATGGCTGCTGTGCTGCTGGGCACTGCCGGCTACCCTGGTGCCATTTCCATATGGTGATGGATGCTGCTGCTGTCCGTCGACACCATTCACCTCCAGCTTCCTCCAGGGACGTTTCTGGTCTCTCTTGACCTTGCAGAAATATCCATGTAGACGATGGACAGTTCGGAACCAGCCGACTGCCATCTTCAACCGAGGCCTCATCTCACCAAGGATCTCAATGGATTTCCGTAAATCGGCTTGCGCCAGACTGGCTGCGCCCATCATTGTTACTGCGGTGCGACCGGGAGAGCCAGCGGCACCACCGTCGCTCGAGTATGGCTTCAAACACAGGTAGCCATCCTGATCCATGTGGTTAAAGTGAGCAGCGTACACGCCCATGAAGGTAGCGTTGTAGATTGCAAAGCCGACCAGGGGTGTCTCCATCAGCACACCACGTTCATGACAGGTGCGAACAAGTTCCACCATCTGCCTGGCTGCGCGAAATAGTTCGCGGGCGCTGTCCTTCCAGAAGCTGTCGGGCACGCTGTACCTCTCGGGCGGGTATGATGGCTCGTCCAGGGGTCCCTGTGGATCCATGGGCCGGAGCGGAAGGAAAGGCAGGTATGCGCGATGTAAGACAATGACTGAAAGAAAGTAGATGATGTGCATAAGTGCATATGGAGCGAGCGAGTTTTTATACATGATGTGGGTGTCGGTGTTGCGAGCGCTGTACTGCAGGTTTCTGTACAGTCCTTCCTGGAATTCATGTAGTTGGTCCCTGAGCTGGTTGAACCGAGACTCGTGGTGCCACGGAGGACATTGATCAGACCTATAGTTAACCGTTAGCATGCATGAATGGGTAGAAGAAGAAGAAAAGGCAGTATTATAATAGGGACAGGCATACCTCCTGCCTCCTTCGCAAGCCCATTTCGCAACGCTGCCCCAGATACGGATAATCCGAACAAGTCGGCCCAGGACGCACTCCTCGACACCGACTTCCCACCTATCGATCCGGTCTCCCATCCCATCGCTTCTATGACCGGAAATTGGAGGCCAGGGTTTAGACTTGACGTCGTCTGCATATCCGATCGACTGTCTGAGACTGGGTATCTGTACTCCGTTGGTGGTCGTGGTGGCTGACCCGTTACGAGAATCATAACTCTGTGACCGCCTACTGGGTCCGTTGCGGCCGGTGTTCCCGTCACTTAGCAGGGAGGTCCGTACCCGCTCACCAAATGCGAAGGCGTTCTCGCTGGGGAGCTGGATGCCGATCTCACGCACCCTGAGCATCCTCGGACGTAGCCTGCCGTTACTCAGACACCTGTCGAGGATAAAACAGCTCCAGAAGGTCCGTCTCCGGGTCTCCTGCTCGATGACGTCGTCTGAGTTGAGCTGGTCCCTGTGCTGGCTCTGCTGGTCGAATTCGGCATGCATTGATGGCCGGCGGGATGAGTAAGGGTGAGAAGGCGTAGAAATAGAGAGCGAATGAGATGGATAAGGCCCGTCGTCCTCTGTGGGCTCAAAGGAGAGACCCATGGTCTGGGATATCCGGACGGCCATGCCCAGGTAGATCCATGCATTTTTCCCACGACACATCCCCCATTCGTGCAAGCATAGCATGAGAAGGGCCTGGACACGGCTGAGGTCGGTGATGGTGATATCGGCGCCATCAGTGCCGGCCAGCCGCGCCCTGAGGACATTGGCGTAGAACTCCGAGGCGGCAGTTGGGTTGCACGGGCTCACTGGCGACGCAGGAGAATGATGCTGAGCCAGCTGAGGGTGAAATCTGGCCGTTAGGGTCAACACTCCAAGCAGAATCAGGGGAGACACCTCTGTCCGTGGTGCTGGACTCTGAGACGGATCAGTAGCATGCTGTCCATCTGTGGTGGTGGTGGTGGTGGTGGTGGTAGTATTAGTAGTGGCAGCACCAGTGGTAGTAGAGGCACTACTGCCGCCACCGGAGAGATGACGGATCTGCGCCAGAGAGGTAGCTGGATGCAAGAAGGGCAAGATGGTAGCGAAATGCTGCTGGAAGAGGTCGAAGAGCGTCTCCCATACTTTGGGAGTGAGGATGGCCGAGTCCAGGGCCAGCATGTAGTTCTGCTTCACCAGAGCGTCCTTGGACGAAACCGAGGCGTTGACATGTTTCCTGTGTCTTTGTCTTTTGGGATTGTCCCACTCACTGTTACTGTTATTATGATTATTGGCGCTGTTGTTGTTATTGTTGCTGCTGCCGTGGTTGTGGCTGCTGTTGGTATCGTCGATGCCAGACGAGGCTGTGATATCCCGTTTGACGCCGGCAGAGGGATGACAGCCGGCCGCCGCTGGAGTTGGATAGGAGCACTCTCTGCCGGAGGACTCGCAAGCTCGACAGGTGGTGTCTATGCCAGCATTAACACACTTGATCTTGCTCCGGCGGCAGCGGGAACAGGCGATGCTGGAGCGCATCTTGGGTGGAAGCTCTCTGCTGGGGGGGCCAGATCCGGAGGAGCAGATATATAGACCATGCAAAGAGCAGCCACGGTGAATAATAGCACACGAGAGAGCTGGAGGAAGTCAAGAAGCAACAAGAACAGGCGACCACAGAAGAGAAGAAGCAGAGACGACGGGTATTAAGTCTGGGGAGCCAGGCCGGTGGCGCGGTGGTGGTGCCTGTGCATGTATATAAGGTAGCTAAGGTCGGCGGGTGTACACCAAGTCCTAAGTACTATGGATGCGCTACCTTATTTTCCGCTGCTCGAACGAGCAAGACGACGAGGGCGTATTAAGTTCGGTTGACTCCGAGAGCCTGGAAGAGCGGCCAGTCGGCTTCTTCTTCTTTTTCTTTTTTGTAAGTGAGCGTAAGTAAGTATATTCGGGTATCGTCAGTAGTGGCTCTTCTTTGCTTTTCTTTGCTGCTGCTTCTTTGCTTTTTTCCCGAGCACATCATGTACTTGCTGTATACTAGTGGGTGGTCCCTTTGTGTACGGAGGAGCCTGCTCCGTCTGTGTGAAGCTCGAGGGTCCAGAGGGTGTTCTTATTCCCGCCAGCACACTCTCTATCACTGCGGGCTGTCTTTCTCTTCCATCTCGTCTATCAACTTTTCTTCGTCTCCTCTCAATTTTTGACCAACAAAAAAGGCGGAATTTTGCAAAATGAAAAAATAAAATAAAATAAAATAAAAAGACTAAAAGGCGGCGAAGGGTGGCAGAACAGGGGTCTTAAGGTTTGAAAAATACGTATTGCAAATACAGATATATCGTATTGAAAACGGGCAGAAAGTTTGTATTTTTCAAAAGAAACTGCAAAAAAAAAAAAAAAAAAAAAAAAAAAAAAAGGAGAAAAAAAAAACAAAAGATGGAGAAAAGCGAAGAAAGACGACGATGAAGACGAAGACGAACGTGAAGATGAAGACGAGGATTCAAGCAGCAAAAAAGAAGGCCGGCGATGCGGAGTGAGGGGAGATGAGGGGACGGGGCCATGGTAGAGCCAGCACAGGGAGCTGGGAAGCCGCTGGAGCAGACATCATCTACTACGACTGCTGCTGCTACAGTACTGCTAACACGGCAGACAGCAGACAGCATGAAGAAGAAGAAAGAGAAGAAGAAGACTACGACAACGACGACGACGTTGAGGAGGAGGAGTTCAAAATGCTGCTAGTGGTGATGCCTGACAGATAGACAAGACTCCGAGTGGAACGACCAAAGCCACCGGCTGCGTCATGTTTGGTCTTGTACTCTGGGCCGCCTGCGGAAGAGCGTATCAGCAGCTCTTTCTTCTGAGGCACAGCACACGGCAAAAAAAGGGGGGTGTCAACTCCCATCTCAGTTGCTCACAGCCTCGGTATGAGAGCAGCCATGCTGCCGAACTTGGTCTGACGGGACGCCCTATTTGTTTCCCATCTCTCTGGCGTGGGCACTTCGGCTAGGATCCCAGGGGAAAACGGTCAGTCTGATATCGGGGCTTAACAATGGCTAGTTGATCATGATATATCCTTGGCCTGGGGACCGTCATGACGCCGTTTCTTGTCTCTCTCTCTGCCTCTCTCTGCATAATCATATTAATACATATTTTGCAGATGGGATGGGATACCTGAGAACGCTCGCTTATGCTCCTGGCACGTCTTGCAGCCCGACACAACCAGACATCTCACGCCTTTCTGTGGGATGAATGGATGTGTGGTAGGGACAAGGTCAGGTCGGGTCATATCAGGTCATGTCAGGTCAGGTCAGGGCAGGACAAACCAGGTCAAAATCAAAGCCAGGCCAGAGACAGAACCCCCATGGACCCGTCACCATCACTACCTGCTGCGCCAGCCACTGCGGAAGGCGTTTCCCGGATGCCGATGCAGGCATGGGGAGCAGCAGAGAGTACCTACACATACATACATATACATAAATACATACATACATGCACCATCTGGGGAGATTGCAGAGCATGATATACTGCCATACACGCACACTACAGGCAACAAGGCAGCCGGCTGCGTGGAGGGATGGCACTAGTCACTTCTATCACATCGGTTCACACTCTCTCGCCTCCGTCATCAATCACTATCACATACGGCTCCTAGACGAGTCAGGCAGGCCGATGGTCAACTCTAGATCCAGAACAATCGAGATATCGCCTCCAGGGGACGTAAAAGATGCATATACGACGGGCTCAAACCACGTGTGCACATTGTTATCACCGTCATCTTCTTTCCTGGAGGATGTCTGACAACGAAGGATGTTGCTGTCTTGCTTAATTTACTTTTTTTTTTTTTTTTTTTTTTTTTTTGCGATGCGACCTATGTATGCATTTCGATCTCAGCTATGGGATGACCCTTTCTGGCTGCAGCTGTCAACCTCGCCTATCGGATCGACGGCGATGTTCACGCACTTGAACAGACAACGAACGGACTGGCAGAGATAGCTGATCATGATCTCCTAGAGCTTAGCTAGTTAAGCCAGTTTACGCGCACATCGGGATCGCTGCTTAGCGCGAAGGGACAGGAAAAAGCATGTTACGGCCAGGCATGATTGTATGTCGACCTTTCTCTCGACCTATTCTTTTCTGTTACCTGAATATACGGAGTAACCGACATCTCCAGAGTAAACTCATGACCAGGGGAGAAAAAGAAAGCAAAGCATCAGTCCATCATCAAGCCAACGCCGTCATCAAGTAGTTGGTGCTTCCCGTCGAGCTCCGTTGGCGAGGTCGGAAGTCGAAAAGAATAGAACAAGAAGCCACTAAATATCATATCCATCTGTTTATCTCTGACCGTTTGTCTGAGATGGCCCATCCTTTGGAGGCAGGACTTTTTTCGTTCCTCCCCTGGGGACTTGACTGCTACCCCTGGAGGCCATGGATATCGGCCTTGTTGTATATTTATTCGGTTCACGACTGGCCGCCACAGCGCAAAAAAACTCCTTCACTTCGTCCTTCCGCTTGAGACTTAAGCAATTGGAGCTCGAGTTGGACGATGGTCCGCGGGGGCAGCTGGGCCGCAGGGCCGTCGGACCGCTTCTCCTACATACAGCCTGTGTACTCCGTACTACAGCCATACAACACAGATCTGGTCGACTTCTGCCTTTTATGCACAGCGATTACACACCGAGGGAGCCACACCAGACGAAAGTGTCTTTTTTTACCTTTTTGTCTTTTTATTTTGTCTTTTTATTTTATTTTATTTTTTTTTTTTTTTTTTTTTTTTGATTTTTCTGCACTTGCATATCGTTCTCGGCCCTGACTTGGCCATGTCTTGCTGCTGTCCCTCGTCCCGTTCGGCGCACAGAAGCCGTTCGACTTGAATTAGTTGCGGTTCTGGGCTGCTCCGGCTTGTCCCTCGCATCCCGAGTCACCCCACACGCTGTCTCTCTCCTGTCTCTCGCCGGGTTTGAACGTTGGGCTCTTGAGACCAAAGCAAAGAAAAAAAAAAAAAAAAAAAAAAAAAAAAAAAAAACCCTTACTGTCACACGCAGCAAACAAAAAGAGAATCCTCCGTCTCTTTCGAAATATCCCGCATCCCGCAAAGAAGATAAACTCGCCTCTGCTGCTCAGACTAAGAAGACGGCCAACTAGCTGTAACGACTGTACAACCTTGCCTGCGCGGAAGGCCAGGGATGTTTTGGATTTGATATCAACTAGGAACCTCCCCTCCCCTTGTTCGCTGCACTCTCCCGTATCATCCGTCGGTATGGTAAAGCTTCTAGAAAAGAAAAAAAAAAAAAAAGGAGAGGGGGAGAAAGAGAGAGGAAGACAGATTCATCTGCTCACATCGATGATGGAAGTATATTTACATATCATTGTCGAAGCGCCGGTGTGGAGCCCCCCCAGGGACAAGGGAGGCTGCCGATTCGCCGTGCCGACCCCATGTTGCCGACCAGCTAGGCCAGCTAGCGAGTGAATCCATCCCGTCCATCCTAGATCTGATGGCAGGGCGTTTTCCGCACCCTCTGCATAAGTACTACATTGCCTATTTTCAGGCCAGCATTGCCTGTAAATGGGGGAATCTACATACACTAACATAACACACTTGTCCGCCTAGCGCTGAAGAACTCCTGACCGATGAACTCGACCTAACTATATGGTTCGGATCCCCTTCATTAACTGCTCCGGCCAGGCGGGTCGTTTGTTATCTTGATCTATGACTGGCGCCCTTGCCCGCACGGCAAGTTGCATGCTGCAGGCAACTTCGCCCTGGTGTCTCCGGCATCTCACACTAGCCAGTTAGCCATGTCGTGAATTATATGTAACTGTGCAGAGATAGTAGACCGCAGGCTTAGTTAATCATGGCAAATTTCTCCTCCAACTCATCGGGGTAAGGTCTGTCTGCCAGCATGCAGGTCGTGATGTATTCCTGCCCGTCTGCGTGTCAACGCTTGATATCCAGCCCTCTCGCACCCCCTAGGGGATCTCAAAACAGGCGGCGACTCAGCGAATAGGATCACAAGGCGGCCATGATCTCCTGCATCGGCACGAAGTCCTGCTGCTTTGCTTTTTCTCTGTCGTTCTGTTTTTTTAGTTCGTGACTTGGTTACATTAGCCAGTTACAAAGGGAGCTGCGGTTTTCTTTCTTCCAGTGTCTTTGCTTTTTGCTGCCGAAGCCCGATCTGATTAATTCTGATACTCGATGTAACAGTGAGAGGGAGGTCGAATAATGAACGAACCACACCTACAAAGGCAGTGAACAGAGAGAAAGAAAAGAAAAGAAAGGATCACACCCCTCTGCTTCTTCCCCCCAGTTACTCGATGCAAGGGAACCGGCGGCCTCTCCCTTTCATCAGGACTGAAACACGCAGCCTCTGCTGCGTCTGCAAGGCTGCATCCAAACCCACCGCATCGTGCGGCACCCGAATGTGGAAGAGGGAAGATTCCGCCTATCTGTCGAGCTCTCCGTTGTCTATTCGTACTGCTAGCAACTAATATTAACTTGTTAAGGGCTGAGGCAGGGATATTTGCGTATTATGTTACCACGAGTTCTCCATATCGACAGCGTCAGCACTGCGCCTGACGTCAGTCAATCAACTGGAGTTGAGCATATTGAGAACTGTGGACGAACATCTATGTCTATCAAATGTCGGTCTCCATTGATACAGCAAACACGAAGCCTGGGCGTCCACATATATCGACTATCAAGACAATGCTCAGTTCTTGACTCTCAACGCCAACCTTCTTTCTTGCTTCTCCGGCTTGCTTGGCTCTTGTTTATGTGCATGAAAAATCTCCAGGGCGCAGCTTAGCCTCATGGGTCAATCAGTAAAAATAATTCACCGGCCTTCAAGGGCGGACGATACATCTGGCAGATTAGCAGCGGCGGGCGGTCGACGTCCGAGATCATCTTTTTATTATTGCAAAAGGGCGTTGGCTCTTGCTTGTCCAAGCAGAGACGGGCGTATATGTAAGTACCCTATGGCAAGGCGGGGACTAGCGATATGAGGGTATCGATATAAGGGGCGGCGAACAAGACGAATATGGTGATAATAATAGCAAGGGCGGCAGGCGGAGGTCTGAGAATGCTGCAAACGAACTCGCTCCACGCTTGATATAAATCGATATCGGGAGTAAGTATGCGCAGGGATGAT